ACCAAGGCCTCAAGATCTGGAATGCTTTACCAAGTACGTTGAGAGAAATCAAATCTTTTGATTCATTCAAATGTCAGCTGAAGTTGTTTCTGTTTTTAAATTAATAAGATGAATATTTGGAATAATTTTCTTTAGTCAGAACACAACGTTTCATGTTACTGTTGTATGTTGTACTGTATTGTAAAGCGCTCAGAGCCTGTGTACTTTATTCGGGGTTGAGCGCTATATAAATGTCATTTATTATTATTATTATTATTATTATTATTATTATTATTATTATTATTATTATTATAAACATTTCAGTTCACAATGTAACGGGATTTGGTCACGTTGCCCACAAGGAGAAATTGGTGAAAGTGCCCTATCTATGTTTTCTATGCTCGTAAGGCGTGTTGGTTTGTGTTTGTTGAAATGGCAGCCTATTGACATCGTCGTTTTCGGGCAGTTGTCAACGGTTTATCAGAAGGGGGAAAAATTAAAAGAGTCTGTTCTACAAACTTTGTTTATAAAAGAAGGACAGGGAGCAATACTATTTTTGTCTGAAGAAACAGCCAAGCGGCCAAACACACAAACAAGTAGGCAACAGATATAGTTTTAAAAAAGAGTATAGTCTTCACGAAATCATCGTCCGAAAGAAAAATAAGGGAGACAAGTTAGAATAAAAACAGATGGTAACGTAAAGTAATACAGTAGTTGCCCTTTGATTACCATTTGGTCTTGCCAAAATTTTCACACCACATGCACGTGACGCTGATCGACAGTACTTAGAGAGAAAAACAATCCTGTTATTGTAGCCTACCTGGTTAAAGAAAGTTACCACTTTTTGTTTATGTATAAAGTCTAGCCTTTTGAATATGTACGCTTGTCCTTTCATTTAAGAACACGTAGTCTGAAGACTGTAGGTCATGTTATAAAAATAGCATTGGGTTGCTTCTCTAGTTTTCACAGCAATAGGGCGGATCTTTTTTTTTTCAATTTTTGTGTTTCTTTTATGAAGTTTGGGTCTGTATTTACCAAAACATGAAAACTCAACAACAACAAAAATCCGAAGCAGTTCAGTGTAGATCTATCAGACAACGAAACCGGATAACTAGAATAGAAATATCTGTTTTTATTCCTTTCCTTAAAATATTTTTCCCTGCTCCTCTCCGGCTACTATTCTAAAATCCACAACATTATAAATCACAAGTATATTCTAAATACCATTCAGTAAACAAGGGAAAAATAAAAACACTTTGAAAAAAATAATTTTAAAAGAACAACCTCAACGTTCCTAACACTTAAGATATCAATTTCTCCTTTCCCTCTTACTGTTGTTATGAAATTCATATATGTTCAAATACAAAAGATTTCTAAATCCGGGTGCACTTTAATAACCCAGGATGTCTACATTTACGTGCGTCATCAAATGAAAAAAAAAGAGAATCTTTCTATAGAGACTATCGAAATGTCATTGAACCGTGAAGAACAAACAAGCCAATCTTGTGTTTGACAAATCCATTACTAATACTTGTCACAGCGCCAAGCTTGTTGCCTTTCACAATTTTTCAATAAGGTGCACAATACAGAAGTACAATACATAGTTCAGCAGTTGAAGCATTTATAGATAGCTCGGTTGAGTGAACACACATTGTGATGACCCCCCC